CAGCGATACAGTCGCTACGTGCCCTTAAATGAAGGATGATGACTGTGGTGGTAATCCGAAGCAATTTACGTATTCCTGTACTTCTAATTATGTTCGCAAGTGTCGACATAATGGACACGATATTGAGAAGAGGGATTCGGTAAACGATACCGGGTCATAGTTATCTATTTATTGATTGACAATAGATCACTTGGTTGCCCAGTTCGCTTCTTCTGTTTTGCTAGTTGTCTGATGTTTTTTTTTTTAATTGTCAGATGATGTGTTGGTGTATCGTATTTGGTTAACATAGCATGGAAATCAATGGATTATCAGCAGATATTTGCAGAGGGTTTCGCTAGTTTATTGCGGTAGGTTAAACCTCAACTGACCGGCTAACAATCCATGAAGCCTCAGGCTGTCAACCAGAATAATGACAATGACCTATCGGTGTTTAGAGAATAGTGGCTGTAGATTATCCCATCAAGTAACGTCAGAATGTCAGCAGAGGAAACGCAAAAGTGGGACTGAACGGATGATAATGGCAATCAAATCATGTTGAAGCTACTGGGCTTTTCGAGTACGACGGAGGGGGATGCGCTTCGAGGCTGGAAAATGTAGATACCTCGTCAATTTACATACATTGGGTAAATGATAAATTCTTCTTAATCTATGAATAAGATAAAAGTACGAATCATTCTTTATGGAGTAAGTCTCGTTGATTCGTTTGTGATTGTTGGTTCATCGGATATATCATTAATCCTGCGTTCCAGTATTTTGCGGTAAACTTATCATCCGCCTATTTAACAGATATTTATGTTTCTAGCATAAATATTGCATGGTAAAGCACCTTTGGTCACCAACACAGAAATCTCTCAGATTCCTCCCATACACATATATGCGATTTATGAATATCCACATTAAAATAATTAGTTAATCTTGGCGAGGTTCACAGAATGGACGTCTTGGTTCAACGCTCGAAACCCGTGGCACGCTAACTGCTGCATACAACATTATCCTAAACGTAAAAGAGGCTCTATTTATAAACCTACCAGTGCCGGACTTTTCCGCGCGACACCTGGCGGTATGCGCTGTTACTGCTATCACGAAAGCGTCTGCCTGTTGGGCAGCAGTTAGTTACAGTGGTTCCTAGTCTATGATCCCGTTTAGTCGTACTCAATAAATAGCATATCAAAATGACCGTTAATAGCGGGCATAAGCCAGTCAAGGCATATACCATAGATTTCTATATCATTTGCGATCCAGTACGTTGTCGTAAGGCTAAGCGAAAATTAACTGTACATTTCTACGAGACTGCGGCAAATACGATAGTTAGCAACGCAATAAACGTCGGTCAACACTGTAATCATGGGCAGGCCATTGTATAGCCCCGATCCGCGTATGAGGATATGTCCTGTTTTATTGGTGTGTGTCAATTCTGTCAGTATATTCTACCTGCAATTGAACACTGCTGTTTAAAAAAAATTGGGTAGACTTGGCTGACAATTTGTACAGTTTACCATGCGGTTTAGGTTGAGATTGTCATCTTTGTCTCTTTCCGCTTTGTTTGACACCTGGTACATGCTTAACAAATTATTGTCGTTAAAAACACGAGAGGAAGATGCTTCGTCGTTACCTGTAATTTCTGTAACAGTCGCTCACCTAGACAGATAACTACTCGGATAAAAGCAGCTATAGCCCTTAATGCTATATCGATACGTCTCTATGTGCACCAACACTGCTGCTGTGGCGCGTAAATGATGTTCGATCATAATGTCTAATAAAAAAAAAAAAAAAAAAAAGTAGCACCGTATGCTGGACCAGCTACGATGTTTGATTGATATTTCGTTCGGTTAAACTAAAATAGCTATCAGCGAACTGGAAAGAACTAGGCCCAAACGAGAAGTTCCAAGCGGAGAAAAGTTGAACCTTTCGTGCGCATTAAATCATTCCGAGAACGATGAACAAACGAATCCATATAATTTACACGCGAGTATGAATCAGATGCTATTAAATTTACGTCTTGGTAACTTGACAAGGTAGAACGGTGCGTGCAATCATTCATATGATCATACTAAAAGACAAGTAAATTATAGTACTGGATAGCACGACCCGATCGAAGTTATACTAAAACAAGTAACCAAAATACTTGGCGAGAACTCAAAACTACCATAGCAACTACCTAAAGGTGAGCTCGGAATCCGTAATCAGGATTTACTTGTTAAGCTCTTAAAAATAGAAAAGTTGTCAAAGGCAGCTGTTTTCTAATTCCTCGTAAGTGTTGCACCGAAGCGCAACGTTAACTATGCAAGTATTTGTTTAATCGAATTTACGTTTTGCCGTTTTCAACCCGCGATAATTCAAATTTCTTGCGGCACAAAAATTCTTTTCTGTTGGAACAGTGGACTTTTTTTTGCTTAGGTGCAGTTCTTCTTAGAAACTAATATGTTAAAAATATATATTATCCTTATTAACTCTCAATATGCTTTTACTAACGTGTGTACTGGGTTAAACATTCCCAAATATATACTATTGTCATTCATGAATTATAGACCTACGCTATTGATAAACCTATCCAGCTACTTCCTGCATTGGAATTAGCCGTAACTAACGATATGGCATATTGTTTGTTTAGCGTGTGTGCATATACATGTTTGTATCATGCCGTTTACTTTAAACACTAATATAGACATGATCAAATTGACAATCGCTTCAAATTTTCACGTATAGACTATTCTATAGTACGTGGAAAACCCGACCTGGTCAAATCTTTGTCCTAATCACAATACAAATACAACTCCATTGAATCCACATAGCCTCGAACCGTTCGAGACGATCTGATGACAATAATTATTTTTTCCCTTCCATTATAGCATTAATTCGGTCACGAAAGACGACTCTAACGTTCCAGTAATTACTGCGTCAGGATGTATTTTCACGTGGTTATTCATCGTTAAACATCTGCCATAACCATATCTAGCACAATCGTAGTGTAATAAGATGATACGATCTAAATATTCATTTAATTCAGTGCTGCCGAAGTATTCAATACCACCTTCCGTCTAAATGGATAGGCGTGTCATCAAGCGCCTATGACTATGGTACCAGATCGTCGCTTAGATGGTGTAGATGCCACTTACCGTGTTGCATCTTTTAGCGGGGAATCGCGGTTGTCTGGAGCTCTGCAGAGCTTTATCTACGTTTTTGCGTTTCTCCTTTGCATGTATCTATCAAACTTCCTGAACAGAAAAATAGCCCAGGCCGTATCTGTCCAGCATGCTAGATCCGACGTGAAGAGTTCAGAGCTTACCAGGCTGCTCTCTGACCTTCTCTTTCTCGTGTAATTAACGCAACAGACTAGATCTACATCGTCCTATAGTACAAGATCTCCAGCGAACACGTCTGTAACTTCTACTCCGATAACCAGCATTGCTGTCGGTATAACGATACACTATACCCGCCGTGAGCACCCGTGGCTCACCGTAACATATTGTAGTTGTGATGTGTGAAAGATAAGCTTTTAGGAGAGAGGTTCCGCTTGCTGACATCATCGCCATTCTATTTTCTCTCGTTTTGTCTATGGCAACAGCAGAAGCAGTCACTTACTATCATATCCCCTCAATGCCCGTCGGTCTTGATTTGCCAAAATGCTTTTTACACGGCGGGCGACTTCGTGTATTTGTTCTAATTCGCGAGCGCCAACGCGTCTGCACACAAATAAACTGCATCCGGAGTAGCATTAACGTCATTTAGCCGACAGCGTCTTGAAGTTCAAGCTGAGCAATCTGTTGTTGACCCTTGTTCACTCCTCAATTGAACGAACAGTGAAAAATGGCCCGCAAGAGCAGTATCAGTGATCACAATTTCTGCTCAATGGTCGTTTTGATAAATTGCATTTGATCCCTGACATATACGCATTGCATACATAGGTCGTCGATTGCTTTTGGGCTTCCTCATTGGCGTTGAGTGTTTTTGTTGTCTTTGTTTCGGATTGTGCCACTATAGCTGGCGCAGTCTGCCCGAAGCGACAATACGGTCGGCAACAATATATAATTCCAGAGTAATGGCGGGTACCACTGGAAACACCCGCTTTCGCCGCTGCAGCTGCCAAAGGAGAACTATATGTTTCTTGCTCAACTGTCTATCACCTAACTATTGCTGGTATTATTGTTACTCGCACGTGACATAGTAATGTGTTGATTACAGCAGACGCGTAAACAGAATTTATCGATAAGCATAGATCTGGTGTTTTTTTTACAAAATATAGTAATACATAGTTATAGTCGTTTACCACGGAGAAACCCATTCCCGCGCTATTGTTCAACTTGTTGTGGCGCTCTGTAATTTATGGGGATGCAAGTATATAAAAGTATATAAAAATCCGTATATTGATGAGCAGGATTCCCCCAAATAAAACAAATAAACTGGCGTTTATCGGACTTTAGACGACAAGGTGTTTGCAATTTGCGGGGATCGGTTCTTCTCAGGTACAAGAAGGAGAGATCTAAAAATCGGTAAACTCGGACAAAACGAAAGAAAGTTTGGTCCTGCGGCGTCAAGTCTAGCAATCATATACAAGCTTTAGGTATATAGCAACTATTTAGGATTTGTCATAAGTTAAGCACTGCTTTAGGAGCAAATTCGGTAGTATTAGCTGTTGCTATCATCCATGAAGGTTCTGAAGACATACTAAATATAATATTTTTACATAGGGAATGAACAGTGTAGTCATTTTATAAGGTAATTATAGATAATTGTCGATGGCTTAAAATGTATGCTGTTATAATCGTTTTGTAATTAGCTGAGATATAATATAAAACAACGAAGTAATGCAAACGATCCGATGCACTGGTTCATCAGTAAGAAAAAATATCGGGCGTCATGCTGTCGTTAGCATGAAGCGGTTCTAAATAAATATTATGCGCTCTAAAAGTCAGAGACCTAATTAATCGTGTAACATTTTAACCTGAGTAATACAAACTTAACATGGACATATCTTTATGCGAATTGTTTTTCCATGTAAGGTCCGTATCTGGAGTGTGACTGTCGCATCCGCTGGATTGCCGAATGGATACGCACTAACGATCTGCAGGTCACCAGCCGCGAGCGTAATCCCCAATACTGCGGCAAACCCGACTACCTGAAACGAAAGCAATTTGGACAAATTGAACTTTCTGAATTGGTTTGCGAGGGACCTCCATCAACAACTACGGTATCCATCCCGACCGAAACAACCACTACGACTACGACGTCGACAACCGAAGTCAACTACAATGATCTGTTATCCAACTCAACGATCCCATCCATCGACACAACTGACCAGCTGCCCCAACGAGTAACCAAGTTTTCACCGCGAACGCGTCCAGTCGCTAATAGTCGTGGAGTAAAGGCCAACGTTCCCACCCCACAGCCGCCTGCCACGTCAAAGCAGATCGCCAAACCAGTTGTCAAGAGTTTAATGGCACTCCGTAAAGATTCGTCTATCAAGCTGGAGTGGACAGTTGATGCGACGAACACACAGGGTTTTCAGATCCTCTATCGAATATTTGGCGATCGATTATACCGTAAGGGTCCAGCACTCGGCCCGGATCAACGGGGCTACCTTCTTCAGAACCTTCCATCGGGTGACTGTGTCGTCGTGTGCGTTATCACTATTCAGGAAGCAAACGATCTGACCGTCGACAATGTACCAATGAATCAATGTCGAGAACTTAAGAGCGACCGCTATGGGATCGTCAGCCTAGATAAGGCAATCATCATAGCATCGGCTGTCCTTTCCGCAGTGGTCATCATAGGAGTTTGCGCTATCCTCTGCTGTATTCGGCGTAAACATCGAAAGCAGGACAGTTTAATGAAGCAGCGGATTTCGGTAGGAGTTGTTCCCGTGGTGAAGCCGCACACTGGCCACCAAGTTGGTGTCGGAGGCGATATGAGCGAATGGGAAACAATGAGCGTTTATTCTTCACGGAGCATTCCGCGAGCTCGAATGTACCATCTCGACGGAGGTCAGACTAACTCGAGTTATGTGGACGACGCTCGCTCACATGTAGCTCACTCATATATTCCGAACAACTATGGAACCAAGCCTCGCGGACCTACTGCCGAGCGAGCATTCTCGCAGATGTCCCAGCACAATAGTCGACTATACAAGTCTAACGGTAATCTTTCGGCGATGGCTGGAGATCTGCGTAAATCGCAACAGTCGCTGTCCGCAGGGTCGGCTGCCTATGTAAACTCACCGAAGAAGCACAAGAGGAGCAACTCACATGGGCGGCTGACCAGTGCCAGCAGTACGCACTCACTAACAGAATATGACTCTGACTGGAATGGCCGCTCGGAGGCGAACTGGAAAGATAACGAGGTGGACATCTATGTCGGTCACAACCATAGGTACCGCTAGGAGCCGCAGGAGACGAAAAATCCGAAGATTACGTTTACTAGACCATCATATTTTGTGGTTAGCTGTTCCTGACTTGTGTTCATAATATGCACCTGCAGTAGTATGATAATAACAGTAAATTAATGGAATAGGAATAATGATGAAGTATAGTAATGCTAAATAGAAGTAATGATGGCGATGCGAAAGGGAATACAAGACAGCAAAAGATCATACAGATCGCTCGGTTTCAGAAAGCGAAAGATCAGGACAAAATCATATAGGCGTGTTTGTTGATACAATAGACAAGACAAACAAAAACTAAGATGAAAAACAGAGCAGTAAAATGATTAAAACAATCCATCGCAGCCCATCGACTTACCCAGTGTACCCAAACCTCACGTAGCTAAATGTAAAGGGGTATGCAACCTCAAAGCGCAATCAAAGTGGTCGACGGGAGCGGCCCCTAGTGCATACCCCGCGAGAGTAAGAAACGAAATTGACAGCGAAACTGAAAAGAACCTAGCAAAAGGCAATTACGGATCAGAATTAGAGAGATTGCTGCCAGATTGGCTGGACGCACAAGTGCCATGCATGTCTGGGGTTCTCGCAAGCACCACCAAGACGAGTGATTACACGTGATCGGAAAAAAGCGGAAGAGAGAGAAAAACCTACCATGTTGATGACGACATAGAAGACAAACATTTCTAGATTCCATTTCACTTTAGTTTCCTCAGCACATATTGTTCAACCTTCATATCTGTATGTCTACAGACAACATCATGTTGGCGTTAATACTTCGTTCTTGTCATCTTTGTTATGACTGCTACAATTATTATTTTAGACGGTAGGAAGAAGGTGGCGCGTTCAACTGACAGAAGTTTCTGTTGTGAAAGATAACCATGAGTAGGGGGAACTTAGTAAGTGCAGAAAACCTAGCGAGGGTGTCAGGAACGACAATATCATCCATTTATGTGCATTATATTTTCATCTCTGACTAAATGAGCACAACGTAAACACCGACAACACAATAGAAACACAATTGTACGAACCAGAAAGCTCTTAACGCCAACTTCATTGATTTGACTTGATATAAGCCACTGACACACGAACTAAATAATATGAATTTGCATGAATAGACAGCGTAAGAGGATTTTACAATGGGTAACACTGAGTCATTCAATCCACGACGCCACATTGATCTTCTGGTAAAGGTTGAGAGAGCAGATACCATTTTTTCAAAACTATTTCTGACGTGGGAATTTTAAATGGAACGAGAACAAGAACGTACGAATTTGCAATTCGCACCGCTTCAGATAGATCTTCGATAACTGTGCGCAACACGCACGTTCGATCGACGAATAAAAGGAACGGTGGTACACGTCAACAAGCCGAGAACAATGGGACTGCGTCAGAATGACGCTTGGACGCATATTGTAGCGCACTACTCCGAAACGAAACCGTTTGTAAATAGGTGGTCCAGAGGGGCCAGCGCCGCTCTCAAAGAAACGACACAACACCAAAATACAAGACAGACACACATATCGTAGCGGCATTGTACATAAGGATGATTATAACAATAATTACTTCATTAATAATAAATTGATGAATAAGCGTACCGTAATAAAGAGAATTTGTTTTGTTTGCCCACGTATTAAATAAATGAATAAAAAGGCACTACATTATAGATGATAAGAGACTTATACAATCGGTAAAATTATACCATCTTGTTAACATCAACGAACTAAATGCTATTATGAAACATAAACCTATGTAGGAAGCAGAGAACCTATTTATTAACTTTTTTTTTTTATTAACTCAGACTCATTACAACAACCAGATTCTTGTTATCCATGCAGCTTCACACAAATAATATACAGGCCACTAGGTAAATAGCATAATGAAGATTAGAGACCGACCAGAGAATTAATCTAGGTGCTACAACATTTTTATTAAAATTGAAGGTACGTAACGTATCAACAGAAATTTCAAAGTTCTCGTAAGTCTCCCTGGCTTCTGCACAAGACGAAGTTAAGGGCGCTATGTATTTCAAGCGGATCTTTAAGTGCGTACTACGATTGGGTTTTTGGGTGCCACTTTTGGCTTAACTAATTACTTATTTACCGCCCATATCCAAACGGGTCGACAAACATTTTTTTACTACTGTACGTGTATAATAGCAGGTCACTAACGAGCGTTGCGACTTCAGTATAATCTGTATGCAATACGATGCAAATTCATATAAAGATAAGTTTTCTATTTACATATAAAAGCTCCACTTGCAACGTAAGTACTGGGGATTTGACGATGTGCTTATACATTATTTTTTTTTAACTTTTAACCAACATTTAAGTTTTATAGTAAGTACCGCTTAAAGAACCTACTTTAAGCGTTCCTGTGAAACGTTATGGGTATTTTTTATTTTCCGGTTCACATGGTCAGATGAACGTATGGCTTCGTTAGTACTCACGACAACCATCAGGAAATAGGCGTATCTATTTGTTGTGTGTTCGTCCCATTGCAGCACCGCTGAATTGTGCATGCTTTAGGACAGAATCTGCTGTCAGCCTTGTGTGTGTCACCTAGATTTCACAGAGAGAAGACGGTGTCATACTCAAAACGACTATCTAGCCGCGTCGGCGTTGATATAAGACGCATTTTCAAAATGGACGTCCAAAAAGTATGAACGACAAAATTCAGTGCAATACGGACCTATGTCGTTCTCTAGAATACATGAGCTCGCGCTTTTACATCGATATAACGATATAATGTCTTCGTTTTCAAGCGTTAAATACATGATAAAACAAGAGATCGATTAAGCTAACTAAGACTGTAATAAGAAGCTAATAATTACAAATTTTCCGTCTTTTGAGAAATATATTAAATAGTATATAATCTAGTCATGAACATCCGCGGATGTCTTTAGTGGAGCTTGTGTAGACCGAATTTTAGCCGTTCAAGATCAATACGGGTACCATGCATATTTGTTAAATTCAAAAAAGTTGAGCATGGTATGTATAGATGGATTACTTGTCGACGCTTTCTGCCAAATGCACTTTATCGCTAATCCATACGTCTGACAGAATAATATAGAGAAGAAGGTGTGACGCACACCACAGCTCATGAGGTCACTTGTACGTTTGCATTCAATTAAATTGGTTTTATCAGTTTTTCAAATATAAATACAACAAGTTTCGGTCACATTCATAATTTTTGAGCTAATTTTTTTAACCAACTAATATTTTAAGGTAAAAGCAGAAGTATTTGGTCCTTGCCTACATACAGGAGTTAGTGCATCAGAATGGTTTTAACGGCTGTACACTTATTGATTGTGTTACTACGCGTATTTTTACAACAAGCTACTATTGTGTGTCCTTTTACGAGATTTTCTTGATTTTACCATACCTTTAGCTGGTGGTACTTTGGCCTAATACCATAGATTAAAATCAACCTACTCAGAGGCCTAATTTATTTATGCTGCTGCCACACAAAGCGACAGTGAATATATCTGTACCTGAAAACAAAAATAGCGAAGGTGATATTAATAATGCCGTTAAATAACTCTATTCATGATGATTCATTATCATTCATTATGCGTGGAGTGTATAACATATTCTGTTTCATTTTAGGTTTCAAACAATCAACTATTATGAGCACGTTCATCATCATAAGACTTAACGACAAGTAAACGTCCTAATTTTTAAAATAACGTCTTCATTCCATAAGCAGTTATATTCAACATCCCCTCCGCCATGACACATACCTCTGGTACTGGAAGACGCCTTGTTTGATATCCCATTTAGCTGCATTTTCAAGAGTAAGAACACCCTTAACAGGTCCAGCCAAGTCCTTAAAGCGTTTTACTATATCCAGCAAAATCTGGAACCGCCAAATCAAATCCGTAGGTTATCAGGACACGTATGAATATGACATAAGAGCGCATAGAACTACAGGTATAACAGATATGGCAATATTCAGGGTCAGCAGAGTAACACTATTTTCCATAAATCATATTAGATTACTTACTGAATGATAGGAGGTCAGCAGGAAGCGAACAAGCGTTTTGCGAAAAGGTATAAGCAATATGCGAAGATGTTCAGAACTCAAAAAGAATTTAATTGGGAACAGTATTTAGATTTGTAATGAATGAACAATTCTTTTCCATCACCTAACGATCAGAGACACTTATTTATTGGGGTCAGTTTTATAAAGAAACGAGACGCATCTAGACGTATCTACAACACATCTTTCATCTTTACCTTTTGCAGGTTTATTGAATTCTTAGACTTTATTAAATCCTCAACTTACCGAGATATCATTCTCAGATCAAGATGTAGAACGTGTAGATTAACCCCACCAGTTTATGCAACATAGTAATAAAAGCGCCGTTTGAATCGAAAACAACTGATCCGCTTTCCGCGTCGAAAACAATAGCAGAACCTTCATGTGAGCACAGGGATCGTCATAAATATTTAAGTAGTTACATATTAGGTAAGATATTTGTCATTGTACGACGCGTAATGTTAAAAAACCTAAAATCGGAAACCTACTCTAATTTATTTGAAAACAAACTAAAGAATCGCGATGCTTTTGTGAAGATTGATCAAATCAGTTGAAATATTAATAGTGTTAATTGATTAAAATATTCGATAAGTAGTAAGTTATTTATTGTCATTCAATACCGTTTTATCTTAATCTCTTGTACAATACATTTTATCTCTATATATAGTAGTGATAATAAATTCTAGGAAATAAGCTTTGCGATTCACGGACTAGAAGTACCGAAAAACAATGAGTAGAGCAGTTGTTTACCTTGAAGAGTGCACTACTGTGTACAGGGATGTTACCTCCATCGTCAGCTCACAAAAGATACATTCAATGCTAAATAGAGCTCACCATTGTGAAAAACGGTGTTTTAGGGTTAGTTTACATAATACATTTTTAAAATTAATTTGTAAAGGATAATTCTTCATTCAATTCTTCTGGAGGTTTACCAATCGAAGTAACGAAATGTTCGTAACGTCAAACAAATGTACAAACATTAGCAACGGATCTTCCTGATAAGCTAAATTCTTGAAAACGAAATCAAATTCTTTTAGTTCACGTTACTTTTCTTCCATAGAATAACCTATATCAGAATGAAATGTTAACGATTGCTCCGACGATTGATGTATTCAGACACTTAATTTACTAACGATACACAGTTGTGTATTACTTTTTGATTTTTTATTTTTTTTCTTCATTGATTGATTGATTGACAACGGCACAATAAGTGCCAGCAGTGATGCCTGACCACAAGTTCAAGTAAACAAAGAGCCGCTGCCAGAAAATGACATTAGTGTATAGTATTTTAGATTTATGATTACATGGTCACCTATAAATGCGGTATATTCCAAATAGAATTCGAGGAATTATATAAGTTTGCTCACAGAACTTTGCCGATATAGCGGCCTGATCGCTGTTGTTTTACCTTCCACTATTTGCGCACGACTATTTGTGGTCTCAAGAGTCTGTGGTAGGGGTGACTAATACACAAGGGACAATCGCTTACCGTAGGAGAGATGATATCTGTCTGATCGTAAAGTTTGAGCGGAATCGAGATAGATCGCAAATTTAATAAGGTTTTTCTGTTAACAGCGATGAAAACAGACCGAGAAGAAAGAAAACGGAACGTACGCGACTGGATTTTATCGAGTTTAGATATATTAGCTTGTCAAAAAACTGACGCATTCATGATATACCATTAGGTTTTTTTACCAGTAATTAACCGTCTATTATAGATCAATGCGTTCATAAAAACTGTTGTCATCTCATGTAAGGTCAATGCTTTCACTGCTAATTTAGAAGGAAAGCTATTTACTGAAACTTACGAAGTGCGGTTTCTCCTCACGCTATTCAAGCATAATAATAAATATTTGTATTGTTTAAAATATGGATTTACGCAAATTTCCTAAAAAGTCCAAACAAAAGTTACTAATTATGAATGATTTTTTGACTCTTATTCTTGTTGGGCCGCACAAGCGAATTTTCTTTGGTGTTCCCTCCAGCTTACACTTAGGTAATACAAGGCGTGCTTTACGGGCGGTCGTTACACGACGGACTAAATTAGATGTATCTTTTTAGGAGTGACTGTGACTACCGCAATTATGCGGCCTAAATCCGAATAAGGCAAATAGAGAAGTTACGCAGTGTGAGGATCGAATCAACGCTTTTAGCATTTTGAAAAATCTACGTGGTATCGCTTGATACACGTTGCTGCACACTAGTCAAAATTCAATGTAAGATGCAATTGGATGTTATTGTCTCAGTAACTTCATATTGCTTCTAGATACGGGAATAAATACGCGACAAGTTGTTTTGAAGAACGTTAAAATTAGAATGTACGTGCAGTTAAGGAAAAGTTAAATTTATTTCAAGGTTCAAATCCACCTGTTAGTGTTGCTCGTAATCAAGAAATTATGCTCCATATGCTGAACAATGTTTTTGTTAATTAATGATAATCTGTTCACATTTATTAACCCACTTCTGAGTAGCACACTTGGATTCTCAGCTTTATACCAGAAAGCACGAAGTATCACTGCATTTATAATATTATTATATATCACTTTACGCGTCACTTTTCAGTTTGTTTAGCTCGACCTCAGAGGCCAATGAACAATAAGGCCAAGAAAATTTTTTTGTATTTGATATCGAACACACATTTTGCACTAATGAACGGGCCCGCCCGACACGTACTCCAATTGGTACCCAAGTAAAGCGTATTAGCTAAAGAAATGTTAACTGCAAAGTTGTTAACACCATGAGTATGAACATTCGTCTCAAATTTTCGCTAATATTCCAGCAAATCTGCATGACTTAATAATTTATTATTAAGAAAATACGCAATGAAATATGTACTATATAATAAACACATGCATTGTTTTAATCCTTGCCATTTGCGCTGGATTTATTCAACCCTGTTTTAACTATTACATAATATCCCAAACCCAACAAGTAACGTTAATTAGCCGAGTCCTTACCAAATTCGTCATTTGGGTATTAAGTTCACAAGTTGCCCCCTCGACTATTAACTTTCTTAACAGCCCAGTGCTATCTAACTTCATAGCACCAGCTGCGATCGATCGAGACCATCTGTGGATGCCCAAATCTACGTTTCACAAAACAATACCTACTCGTCTTTAACCTAAACGTCAAATGTCATACTGCACAGTGTGCACGTAATATTGTCACGTCGATAATGTCATTGTCGTCACATAATTTCATCCTAATCGAACACGTCCCATTGTAACTTCCCTAAACGCACAACAGGGTCGACGTCTTATTTTCGCCGCAACCATGTGTGTATTCATTTGATTGCTTCCAATATGTAAAAATACATCCTGTGTTGTTGCGCCCCCTATACTTTTTATCAGCTCGATCAGGAACAATTAGCTTTCATTTGTGGTTTATGTTTGTATAATTGAATCCAAGCTGGTGCCTATAAGTGACACGATAAAGATCTCTATAAATACCTAGCTATCATATGTACAAGCATGTCAGTCGTTTCTAGAGCCACTAGAGCTTCATATTAGACTTAGATTATGTTGGTCTCTACAGTTATGCACCATCGTCGTTGTTAGCAGAGAAAGAACGCCAGGCTTAGAAAAGAGCCTTCCTGCTCTTCACCCGGCCTGATTCGCCGATTGCGTTCGAAAGCTTAACGATACGGGTCGAGTGCATGTCGTCTGTAGATGATACCTGACTCTGAAATGCAACAAGAAAATACAATAACAATCATTTAAAACTGATGTCGTTCGACAAGTGATATTTACAAAGATAGTCGTAACAGCCCATTCCATATATATACAGTTTTTAGTTCCAAACAGCTCAAATTCACGTACATTCCTTACATTTTATTCCAGAATTATACACAGTGTCACAATACTGTGTATGTATCGTAAATGTACGTAAGCTTTCAAACAGGAGCAATGCGCCCAAGTAAAGTACTCTACTACTCTTACTTTTATCGATAAGTGTGCAAGCACCTAAGGTCAAATAATATAAGGGTATTAACTCTCCATCTTTAAGGCATGTTCTAATTTGAATTTTCAACATTTATAATGGACAAAGAAACGTTTAGTTTCTGCTCGAAACAAAATGAGTAAACAGATATAACATATGCGAGCTAGCAGTAAACGTGTTACAATTGAACGTGGCTTTTTCGCTGTACTCCTTTGGTACGTCTCAGTGCTAGATGATCGTACTAAAGGCCGCGAACCACGTTTCTACGTTCAGATGGAGAAAATCAGTGAGATAATAACGTTGCTATTGTTGAAAAACACCTTAATGAAGTTGCAGCACGATTTTGGATTTATGTGTAAAGAAAATATTACAATGGTTAGCGACACGATGGAAAACGGAAAAGGACAACAGCAGAAATCTACTGGTTACATCCAAATAACTGTAAGCGTAGCTGAAACCTAGAGTTTCGTGGGATATTGACAGTACAGTAACATCTATAGCCGTAAAGTTCGATGTGTGGTTTAAGGGTACCTCAAAGTCGCCGTAGGAAATGGATCGTCGAAGGCCACGTCTCGTCGTAGACAGCTTATTTTTAGCGTTGCTCCCTGGACTTTTCATAGCCATGTGCCGAGTGTACATTTTTCCTACGATTAGAGCCTTTGACGAGGCAGGTTCTAGAGTCTTGATTTTGGGCTTGATCTCCGTGTAGGTTCCAGCTCGCTTTAGGGCGGCAATACGGTGGCCAACTGTCGAAGCAGGTCTGGCTGTAGCAGGAGTGACCGATAACGGCCTGTTCATTGCCTTCAGCGGCGTCGTATACTGGCAAGCAGCTGAAGCGCTGCGAGGCTTCTTGTCGTCGTCCTCGCGTATTCCTTCACGAATTGGTTTTCCATCAACTACAACCTCACCGTTCTCCTTCTCATATGTGTCAAGGAACTTCACAATTTGCTTGACTACAATGGGTAGATTTTTGTTAACACGATCGCGTTTTTTCGTCTCCTGAAGCAAAGCACCTCCACGATTTTTATAACGATTCGGATCTCGTTGTGCTTCCTCGAGTTCGCGCAACATCTCCTTGAGCTGATCGCGTTCGTCGAGCAACTTAAAGAGCGGCATTAATTGGCTGTATCTGGCCTTAAGAGCTCCAATAGATTGCTCATACTCGGTGATAAGCTCTTCAGATGGTCCCAGTTCGATCATATTTTTAATTCGTTCCGGCTCCGCCCACTCATCGCCAATACGTAATGCCGCGTAGCATTCTTTTACCTCGTTTCTAAGCTTGTCGACGTAACTTGCCATATTTGCTCGTTTGAGCTCCTCATATTCAGCGACAAGCTCCTCAAGTCTATGTAACAAAAATGCAAATAAATTAGAGGATGATAACAAGCAATGGGAATATGTTTTTACCTCACAGAACAGAGTAAAATATATTTATAGCAAGAAATATTGATGAAAAATTCATAAAACTATTTTTAACCGATTTCCAAATTCACAGTAACGGTTGCAGCTTTTACTTACTTTCCCACGGTCTGGTAAGTTTTCGTATTTGTAAGGCCTGTAAGTAATTCCTCCCTTTCAACTTGTGTCACATCTAACCGATCAAACAATTTGCCTAATTGGGCAAGCATTGAAGTGTGACGTGTATGCAGTTGGGTTTCCTCCAGAGATAACTGAAAAAAGATAACAAAGTGTCTGAGAAATCAGCTATTCGAGCAGCTTAATATGCCAATCTCTAGAACCTACATTTTGATTTTTAGGTGTTTAAGGACAATTTGGTTACCGATAGAACTACAGATTTGTTATTACTATTATTATTAGCTTAATTGTTTAAGCAGTTCGTGTAATATTATCTATTTTTCTGCTTCAGATGCAGGACCAATGATAAACTTCTTTACTTTTTTTCGTATCAATTTAAACAGACCACATAATATAATTCCGCATCTCTTGTTCTCTTAAAGGCTAATACACATTCTGGGACAAACAATTTTCACTACTGAGCCTCCGCAAAAACCAAGTAAAATGCTAACCGCATCGCGCGCTTCTGCGGCGCGCTTAATGTTTTCTTGGGTTAAGTTCCAGTGATCAGCTGGCAAATTCGATAAATCTTCTTCGATGGGAAGGCGCGGTACTTTGCCCATCCGTTCCATCAACATACATGATGCTTCCACGAGAGGCCGAAGTTTTTCGAGACGAATTTGTCTTTCTTCACGGATCATTTTCACGTGAGACGTCAACTCACGTAGGTCGTCATCATTTGGTAAAGTTCGAAGGACTCCGCGAGATGTCAGGGATCGAGGCATTTTCCAGACGACTCCATCTGTCATACGCGCCAGAAGTTCCTTTTCATTCTTGCGTAAATCGAAATAGAGTGCTTCTCGTTTGGCACGGATAGCCTCAACTTTTGCCGATGAAGTTTCCACCCACTCAAGCTGCTGTTGGAGATTAAGGCAGGAAGGCTGTTTTGGCATTTCGATTTCAAGTTGGTTACATATCTCGGTAAGGTCACAGAGCGCCGCCTGCACTTGGCGTTTCTGCTCTTCCACCGCCTGCAGTTCGTCATTAATAATGGTCGTCCACCTGAAAATATTCATGTCAGTAGCGCTGTGTAATCTAACAAAGCCAAATATCGTTCGTGACCATTTACACAGGGAGACAGTATTTCGATAATAATAGAATTCCAAATAGTATTTTTGATAAAAACGTCTTTTCCTATTTAGAACGCTACACAACAGTAATCTATCAGCAATGATAATAATGAATCTGTAATAAATGTAACCTTTCGTTTATCCATGTGAAAAGATGCATCATACGCTTGTGTATTTTTTCATCAGGGATTCCAGAATTTTCCCAAATATCTTGAAGACGCAATATGTTTTCCGCACATGTGTCCATATACTCGATATATCTGAAAGCACAAACCGGTTGATAACAACCGCAATACAAGCACCAAAGATAAGCACTATGTTGTATGCTAATTATGACATTCAAATTGCTTGGATCAATTGAAAGGGAGTAAATTACTAAATTATTCTTTATATATATATATATATATTAAATTTACTATTTTTAATAAATTATTGTATAAAACTATCTCTTCACTAAAAATGCAGATAAGCATGTAATCTATACATCGAACTCTGTTAAAATACGATTAACGTAAATGCTTTTAGCCAATGATTTTTAGCTAAATGCCAATAGCATAGGTCTTTTTCCTTTTTGGGGTGATAATTGTTCGCTGGAGCGTAGACTTAACACTGTAATAATCAAGGCAAAAGCACCCTCCTCTTTTATAAGAGTTTGGGAATAAAACACATTAAAAGCCACCATGCGATAAACGATCTTCAGTACTCAAATACCTTAGCCTTTCAGTTATATTATAATTGCATTTTTTTAAAATATAATAATCATCTAATGTGTTTCCTATCTTAGAAACAATAACGTCTTTCCACTGTGAAAAAAAAAACTAAAATCAGCCGTGTTTAAACCAGCCACACTGTTCATACTTCCACAACTATCAGTTCAGAAAATCATAGAACTACACAAATTTTAATTATCATATAGCAAATGCATTATTTATTGATAATTATTTAAAATGTTGAGCCATGAGGCTAGAGTAGTTTACTAAAACTTTTCATTGATTTTTGTGAATTCTACCTGAAGATTAGTTGTATATCTCATAACAAAAACAATATGATGTAGCCAATACTAGTTCATACGTGAAATAATTAACGTTGCAGAAATGTGTTGATTGTTATTTCGACAACATTACAAATCATCACAAAAAATTAGCTACAGTCAAGTTTATTCTAATTATCTGCCATTTCCGTTGGCAACGGCCTACATTAGTCACAGGTGTTCGTTGGCGATGGTCAATCATAATTCGTGTACCTGGCACTACTCATTTTAAATATCTGCCTTAAAAAATACCTTTTCTAAATTTAAATGTGAGATACTCACGTATCCTTATACCTCAGTGGGACGAGGTTAAGTTTAGATGGCGTCATCTTGCGTGTTTTTACGTAGCTACCTTCTTTTTGGATTAAATCTGTCCACTTAATTCGCAACCTCAGCTATCTCGTACAATAGAGTCCTTCTGTTTCTTGGTTCTTCTGTGAATAGGTTAGCGGTTGAAAGTTTAAATGCACCGAGTCTCGCGCCCGCTAAAAAACGCGACCAACCCGCCGAACGGAATTGCTATTTTTGCCAATTGCAACAAAAGAGCGTTCATTTGCGAATAGCAGATAACACTATGGCTTATTAATCCTCAACAGGCGTTTAGCAAGCGCAAATACTTCAGTGTAATTTTATTGCAACATTATTCTTAAAAACTGTAGATGTTTTCGTTCCATCTGGGCCGCTAAAAGAGCGGACAAAGAGAGTCGTTAGACTCCGAATGGAGATCCCTTGTGGCGCCGTTGTCAATTAATGTTCTGTCTTTCAATCGATTTCTGTGATGATGCAGGGTGTAATGTGTTTTCACCCTAACATTAAAAATACGTAGTGGGCGTAGAAACACTTCGTTTCGTGCTAGGAGCATGTCGCACAAAGTTATGTCTAACGGCTTAAATAGACGGACGTAAAACACAAAGAACTTTGTTCTTTATTGATTTGATTAGTGTTATCGCCTAAGTCTCTGGTTAGGTTGAAAATACGGACTAGTCAATATGGCAACAGGAACTAATATAAGCATAGGCGTAACAATAAATAAAGCATCTGCAAAGGCGTATATAGTAATTATTCTATACGTATTGCGAGCTTAATTGAATAGCACTGTATAGTTATGTTTGATATTTTAGCTAACTGTTGTACTAAACAGTTACCTTTCTTAAAATAGAACTATGCTTGCAACTTGCACGATTGTTGTAGTTTTCGATCTACTAGCAGTTAGGTTAACACGTCAAACCGCGAATTGTCGGATGACAATATCTGATATATCAATAACGGATATTAATAATATCTATCAGGGTGATTTTATATTAGCGAAAATAGAAGGGACATGGTAATATTTAAAGCCAGAATTATCTCTTAACGACGTTCCTTGATGTCTTACTCTACGCACCATCTGCATGATGTAACAATTAAGATTTTTCTACGGAGAAACTAAGGTTGCTAGCTTTTTTTGTATACACCTCGGTGTATTATGGCACGATGAACGCGACAAAGAAGCTGCTTCGTAGGAAATCTAAAGCGAAACGGAATGTAAACACATTCCCTCTAGCCGAACATAAAAGCGTAATTGAGCCTAGGTTAGGAACTTGGTCGGCAATATTAAATTATTGAAAAGTAATTAGCAAGGGAATTTAAAAATTAGGGGATCAAACAAGGAGATAATTTTCCTCATTACTATTCTGATCTGAGACATTTAGGGGCGCACAGTTCAACAACAACGAGATGTACTGAAGTTTAACGCTAAGTTAAATTTTCAAAGAAAACACCAATATTTTTATATGATATGATTTTGAATAATGCACCTTTATTGAGAACTATCCGATCTTGACTCTCCGTTGCAGGTTTAAGAAATTTTTGTATTTGAATAGTTGCGTAGTATTTTTTTTTATAGCTGAATAGTTGTTCAGAGAACGAGCCTATCCGAAGGGTCTGTTACATCCTTCATGGCATTATCAATTTGATTGTCCATTGCCAAAGCGCGGAAGTGCTGAAATGTGGTAATAACAAATCTAGTCAAATTTTTTTTAAGCCCGAGAGCATCCTGAGCTTGAAAACAATAGTAACAATAAAAATTATTACTTAAATTAAGAGGGTACCAGCGCTTGCATAAGTAGAGGCTTTTTACTGAGTGGCTTCATCCACATGAATGATTAAAGTGCCAATTAAATAAAAAAATATGGCAGGCCCAGAAGCAAGAAGCCTCTGCTGATTATGTTGCATAGCGACATGAGGACTTACTATCGGCTGCTGGTGATCCAGTAAATAACGTACCTGACTATTTTTGAATTCGTAGTAAAGTGTGAACAGCACATGCAACGAATGCAGTTTATTCTTATAGACCGGGATGTCGAGGATGGCTGAAAGTTTCACGTAAAGGAACTTATACCCATCAATTAAGTCTACTAGTTTATCACCAACGTAACGTATTACTACATATCCCGGCGACGTCCATATGTGAAGACTTACTTAAATGCACATAATTGTGCTATCAGTTCACCAAAAATATTTGAGACAACCGGAAAAAACCCGGAAGCACTTAGAAAATTATTTACACTCTTGCACTACAGTCTATTATACCATACTTTCATCTCGACTGTTAGCGATCTGAGCAACCTTCGGTTATATATCTTGCTTACAAATACATATCCGTACCTCTGAAATACTGTATCTGGTAAGATTTTACTTAATCGTGTCTCACTAGGTACTCATGGTAGATTTGTAATTTGTAGCGGTGATATATCAAAGTAATCATTTCTATATTAACCCAGCTCAGGAGGGCACACATAAATATGCAGTATTAATAACTGTATTAACTTACCCATTATAATGTTAACGTACTCATCCAGCGAGCAGCTAAGCTGCGCAGAAGGAAGTGCTAGGTCGCGAAGGGCGTCTTCAACCTTAAATTTTTCGAGAAACATTATATAACTTTATGTCGATTAAATCGAAAACTGAAATTAAGCTAACAATTCTCTGACCGCTTAAATAGTGAACTTTCCCTAACAACAGGCATAATTTCGCCCAGCATCTGGTGCGTAGACAATAAAACCAATTTTTTTTTTTAAATTTTAGAATTGCTGAATAAAGCGACCGAGCAATTTTACCTGAATTCTTAAATTTGTTTAAATAATATTGTTACTAAATAAAATAAATTTTTCCAATTTTACGTCCGGTACCGCCGCTTTGTATTGGTTTCACTGTTATTACAAAATGTTTGGAGTTTTATGCCCGCTATTTCTAACTGTAAGAAACGAAGAGTCCCGGATTCGACTCTAAACTATTATTTTACTATTCCTAGTTCACAGCAGTTGACTATTAGATGCTTGTCAGCGATCTCCTAGACGCTCAAAGACATTCCTTCGCAATGCCCACTTTAATTTGTTTAGAAGGCCGGTTGCCTTATTAAAAAATCTATATCGACTTCGGTAGATACTAAATTTTCCAATAAACATGGATGAAAAACCTAAGTGAACGCAGCAGAACATATGGATCTGCCTATCAATACAAATAATCATTGCTTTAATACCTCCTGAGGCCATTCTTGCATGAGCGACTCGATATCAGGCATAGGTCTCGCGTAATGCACTGTCGGCGTTGGCCGGCTCTGATGAAGCTTCTCAATCGAACTTATCCACTCTTCCAGTTGCTTCGGATTCTCATGTGCCTGATCCAGACATTTCACCAACAGCGCTAAATCCATATTGTCAGCAACCGAAATAATGTACATATTAAAGCCAAGTTATATTTGCTCATTATTCTAGAAAAAAAATAGAAAACATAACGTTACATCCTTCGATCTATAAGGATACGCAATACAGCCTCCATAACTAGCCTTTCGATCCTCAACTAAGTTGTGCTCACGTGTTAACGACAGCCTTTGGTATCTTAGTGAATACTGACATTAGCGATTTTTTTTTCAGAACGTCAATCGAGGAATCTATTGGATAAACAATTATCACGCAAGCGACAACGTGAAGCCTTCTACAAATCGAAAAGTAACATTGCTAAAACTTACTGGCTGACTTTGCCGATGATTGTTTCGTGGTCGCCCGCAGTTGCATGTTAAGAACAGTCGGGTCACTTTGCTTCGCGCATGGCTCATCAAGAACTTTCAGCCCTAAAAAATCGTCGCTTTTATCTGGAGGAGGCACCTGTTACAAAAAAAAGCCTTTTCATTATGAAGATATTGAACATCGAGGTTTCGTCGTAAAGGCAAATGAAGTACGGCAATCTCCTTCGTATGGGGCAAATAACAGAAGTATATCAAAGCCAATAGTATCAACCTTTGATAATTACTGTAGGAATACCTTCTGCTCACGCTGTACGCTTCGGCAAGTCGAAGATCTATAGATTACCGTAGGTCAGATATTTTTAGATATTAAGTTAACAACCATCGACATGAAAGCTGCATATTGTCGTATGATTTTCCTCGAGAATGCCTTTGTTCATTCAATCTAGCCATTCTGCATTAGATAAACTTTCGTAATTGAAAAAGCCATCTGATGGAATGCCTAACGGCGATACCAGAGCTAAAACTCGAAGTACCTTTATGAAGGCGTCGATATCTCCGACAGCGGGAATGAGATCCGGAATGAAGGGACGTAGTTTGTTATCCAGCTCAATTGTCTGTGGGGTGTAGCTGTTTAACATGAAATCAATCAACACCGATTAGATACCAATTTTAAGATACTGAAAGAACTTCACAAAATGTATACTTTAAATTGACAAAGCTTAATTCGTTCTACGTCTTGTTCAGTATTTACTATGCTAATTTTAAATACGTTGCGATACTGCTACAGGCTTGACCAGGTTGCGTAATTGACGATTGATTTCACATATTTAGATGTGCAACACATGCACATGTGGCGCATTCTGTTTAATAGTCACGACACTCACTTGTTTATGAGCTTGAAGAGAGCTTTTAGCTCGGCAGATACTGCTAGATTATCGTAGTCCCGGGGATTATAGCCGTCCGGTACAATAGGTTCTTTGTCAGTTGACTCCTTGTCGGCATCTTTTTCAGCTGCATTCTCTTGACCCGTTTGTTCCGGTTCATCGTTATCATTTTGGTCCAACGATGACGCCTTTTGCATCGGTGGCTGTTTGAAGAATTCTGCCGAATATTTTGTCACAGCAAAAGCGGATCGACGTGGCCCAAATAAGGGCGGATCAGTTTTCCAATTAGAAGGGGCCGTTGTTCAGATTCATTGAATTCAAAGCGTCGTGATGTCAACTTATTCCTATCTTTCTTTTTCGGGTAACAACAACAACAATGCGTTGTGCAAAATTTGTGCCGTCTGTTATAAATGCGCATGAATGACGCGGCAACGTTTGTCCTCAATCGTCAGATTTCTTCTATTTTCCTAAAATCAACGTATTACGCTGCTCTACTTGGAACTATTAATGCACAACTCCATTTTTGCGTGTGAACGAGTCGAATGCTAGGCAAACGGTAAACGATGTCTTCGATCAATAATGGCACCCTCTACGAATAAGGCGCTTTGAAAGTGGCCGGAATGTTCAAGTCAAGCTCTCGATTTGAATTTATCGCATAGACATTTCGGGTGACTTGAGCTGCTACTGTTATTGTAGCTGCTCTACTACTAATATTTCCATTGGGCAATCGTTCACGTCATCTGTCGCCGGTACCCCTCAAATCTAACCGCTCGAGGTTCCGGTTAGATCAGCTGATACACTGAGACTGGGTGGTTCTTCCTAGCTGCCTTTTAAAATAAAGCAAGAGGACGAGGAGTATCGAAACGCGTAATCGATAATGGACGCATACAAAAGAGCTCTGGGCATGGTGGAACTTTGTAAAGCAAAGGTACTTACTTGCAAACGACATTTTGCTTAATGCGCTTCGCGTGCTTCGGTTTCACTCGCAGCTACGAAAAGTAGTCTGACTGCGTCAGCATCCCTCGTATACCCCCTCGTCAGCTGGCCAAGGTTTGCCTGTCAATGTTGTCTATAGAGCTACTTTTTCGCCCTCACTCGCTAGGTCTGTATCGCGCTGTTATCTCAACGGACGCAGAGTTGACATCGTTGCCATGGCGACACTCGAAAATTATAGTCAGCGAGCGAATCCGGTACAGTTATATGAAACAATTATGCTATAAATGTATTGAATTGTAGTGCCATGTAAGGCTATCTAAACCAAAATCGAAATCAGACATATGCATATAGTTATATATTACGTATAGGTTCGCCGGTTTCAGAGTACCTCCAGATAGCGGTACTTGAATTGATTTAATCGCCTCCTTGATGTGAAGTATACTTAAAATATACGTCGAAGCAAATCCAATTATAGAAATAATATGTCTTGATTGACAATGATTATTCAACTGGGATATAATAAAAACCTATGTGTACATCATCATCGTTGTAAAGCCTTTCTGTAGCCAGATGATGCAACCTATCTATCAAGACCCTAGCGGAATTATAGCTGTAATGAATGAATTTAATAGATAGAACCTTTCAGCTTATAAATCGGCTAGAAGCATTGTGCAGAATTTCGAGGATACTAACTTTTCGATAGCATCTAATCAATCAACTTAGCAAAGCTGGCAAGTGTAGTCCTTTTTAGTTATAATTATTCGAAATATACAAATGTGCGCATGAGAATCAAGAACGCGTGCCAATATAGTACAAAGATGAAATTATAATGAGGCTCTTTGAAGCTCATTACAGACGTCTTATTTGAAACATTGCTTCGATTACAATGTAACTATGTCCCCCGGCTTCCGAGAATGCCTTATCAGACAGGAAGTGCGTCTTCGCAGGCTGAAGCGCTGAAGGAGCCAAGCTTCCATGCAACGCAAAACTATCCACTGTTAAATCCTCGGCCTCCACCACCTTAAAAGCTTGGGCGAGCACAAGCCGTGCAGTTTTGTTAGATACTGTGGTAATTTTCGATTCATCAGGCTAAAAAAGCTAAGCAGCGGGGCCAAGCACTCCTTTCCAGAATCACTCAAAGACATATGTTTCATGTTTAATGCTGAAATTTAACTAATGCCCGTAACGACTTTTTTGAGGCTTGAATTAGCGATTTACTTTTAGAATACAGCTGAGGGCTCGCCAACGATCGAATTCTAACGATGCTAACTTCATATCCAACACGAAGTATTGAACAGGATGTCCTGTTGAGGCCATTTATATATTGCTGTGTTATTAGATTTTAGGTATTGGCTAATTTACCATATATATATTCTTATGGACATGACGCGCATCTTTCAGACAATCTAGACTTATAGGAAGGTTATTTGTCAAATAGGTAGGTACACATGATGGTTTAGGTTCGACTTCGGTAGTAGACATACTTCCTTTCGTCAAACTGTAATGTCTAACTACTTGACGGAAGTCATCAGAGACTGTACTAAACATTAGGCGAACGCAATGAAAACCGAACAGAAATAGGTTAGCCTGCACCGCTACTATCTAAAAGGTAAATTGAAATCACCACCTAAGGAATTTTGTTTCCTATATTATGTGATGTATCTACTTTATTTTCATTATGCCGCATGAAATGGAGATAGAACAGTCGCATGCTACACTGAGATCTAGACCTCTTGCACCAAATATTTTCGTGAGATCATTCTTTAGTCTATAGGGTCGCAGTTATGATGCGCGCTTACAAAGCGGAGCGAAGTAAATTTTCGTGAAGGTTTCAACATGAAGATTCAATTGGTCGTTCACTGACAAAGCATGATCCACTAACTAAAATCTTTGTGGCAATTGTTCGTTTTAGCTTGTTAATGCACATAACTATTTAAACATGTTTTTCAGCACGATACAAATAGTCTTTACTTTAATGTCTGGATGTTCACTTCATAGACTCCGCTGTAAGCCCTGAGACAACAGCCTTAAAGAAGAGTTGATGTTAGATATGTGGCGCGCGCAGAGTGGCCTACTGCTTGCCTTGACGACCTCTCGCTCCCTGGGGCTTTCAGGCTTTCGTTCGAGAGCCATCTGCTCTCCTAAGCGTAGCGGCAGCTCACCCACTTACTTTCACTGTGTGTTTATTTCCCCAACGCAACTCTTGCACAGCACTCATCTGTTTTTTAACATCTATGTTGTACCAAACACCAAACGCTATCGCTTTGGTGCAAAAGTTTGAATTCGCACCTCGACTCCCTACACCTGATAGCACCAACCCTTTTCAGAAAGATGTACATTCAAACTGCGTACAACCAGCATTAAGAAGCTGTATAGGAACCTCGTTCTGAATCGTCTCAGGCTTTGTGAATAGCGCGATATTTTGTGCTGTGCGAAGCAACTTTCGGAGATGCTATTTTTCTCATGTGATATTGGGAGAAAAGTCTACGGCACACTATAGACTAACGACGATCTAGATTTGTCGCAACAGCGCAGAAGCTTAGCTCATCCCACGGTTTTGAAACAATCCCTGCTGCTTTTTGGCAGTAATTTCCAGTCTGTGTTGCCATCCAGCCTCAATTAATCTTTCGGATAGCAATTGGTCAGCCTTCGTTCACGGCAGATTCTTGCATAACATTTCGACGACTCACTAACCTCGAATTGAAAAAACAAGACAAATAGCGGGGTTGGTGTGAAAAGAGTGAGCTAGCCATAAGTATATTATTAATAGTAATATGTACTAAAACGAAGCACCCAGACCCCTTACGACCGCGGAACGCCGAGTGATTAATTGTCTGGGTCGTCGATTCATTTCGAAACGGAAAAGGGTGCCGAAGAAGATATTCACATATCATCGGTTAATATCGAAAACAGTATATCATCATGCAGCCGAACAAGTTTCTATCGGAGATGAGATTCTTCGATTATGGAGGTGTGTTAAAGTTCTCTTTCGATCCTAACAGTGATGATTCGATAATTTTTTGAATAGGCGACTTTCAGAAGTGTTCTTTGAGTCAGTGGCCATTGTAGCTAATCGTTACGCCGTAATAAATCAGCTGTCACACCAGCTTTTAAGACATTTCGAATATACAAATAAATTAAATTATGCTTCTATCTATATAGACCATATTGGCCTCGTCACAGTCTGTCGTAATGTTTATCACTAAGAGCCCTTCGTCCAAGATGTTTTCTATGAGTTGTTGTTGTTGTTCTGAAATAAAAATCACATTTCCATTTCTGCACAAAAACACCATTAACGAATAATCGAAAAAATATGAACCTTCTACTATAGTCCATTCTCTAATTCTCTCGCTTTCAGGCACGATGACCGGCATCTATCCGGCAGAAAATAAATCCTCAGTACAGCACAAGAAGCTAGTAAGGATGTTAACGGTGGCAGCCTACCTACTCTGCGTTTCGTTGGCCGCCATCCTACTTTCGCTGTACTACCTCTTCCTCTGGAACCCTGACATGAACAAGGACCTACCTGATATACAGTCAAGGTTCACTAAGGAACTATGCAGCTCGACTCAGCAACAAATCCAGTCGCAACAACATGCACAATATATGCAGCGCCTTGAACACCAGCAGCTAGAACAACAGCACCGTCAACAAGTACAACAACAAGACGAACAGCGTCAACCTGTTATAATTAGCATTGTCAACAGCGATTCGATTGTTACGAAGGTTCCTTTAACAGGTAAGCTGAGCTAAGAAATCAAATTGAAAAAATAATACTTCGATAACTATATACATGTAAATTAGAGTGGGCTATCGTACAAAAACCGTCCCACACTAGGAATGGGGCAATTAGAGTCGTAATGGCTTTTAGCCTGAGTGATTGGCAGGAATCAAAGGTTTACATACAATGCTTTCCCTATTCAATAGTATTTTGGAATAATAAGCTATTGTTCATCACTGAAACGCGATGACGTTGCTGAACGAAGTGAACAGACTACCATATATTCTCATTTCGGTTCATACCCCTCCTAGTAGCAACGCTTAGTGGCCAAATTGCCTCGACTTACCTTCGATAAAAATATTAAAGATTTATTTTGTCTTTGTTACACATGAGTTATTCTAGGAGCTTGGCACGGCCATTACGCGTAATCATCCTTCAACAGCTTCAATTTGGCAATCGTAAATTGTCGTAGCGGACTATGTGTATAGTTTCACCAGTATCGGTACTTGCTTCCTAATAGATTTGTTATTGTTAGCATTCTTATTGTCAGTATCTTTCGTCCCATTTTTTAATCTAACATCCCGTTTAATTAATTATGGTGTCTTATAGTTTATCGAAATTTTTGCTTGCTCATATAATCGATCGATGACGTGAACCGCTAGAACGCCTTCATAGGTTTTGTACGACATCTATGACTTCATATTAATCTGATGTCACTATTCGTACTTCTGCCATTTTTACCTTCACATTATAATAATGGCCGCAAGAAGCTTAGCCAATCTACAGAGGAAAACAGCAGTACCGTTAGTACATCACATGGGGTGGCATGCTTCGCGTAGTCTCGTTAAACATACCATCTACATATACTAACATCATTGAAAAAGCGAGTTACTCCTCCTTGACGAATCGCGTTCATAAATTCACAGGGCCGTCCGCCATAGAGCCTCAACGTTTATGACTGTGGTAATTAATAGCATTTACGTCGTCGTCCCGTCCCCCCCTTCCCCCTATTGTCGACCAGCCAACAATCGCCCCCGGCCATCGCGTATGTGATATAATGTGATTGATTATCTCAATGAACATCGACAATGGAAACGATACCGTTAGTCGTATCCAAATCGATTTAGATGCCAGCTTCATCTTTATTGTACTTCTAAGCCGCTACAATCAAGCTTCGTCTACGCGCGCACAGATTTTATTATACAAATATATATTTAATTCTGTGTTGGTTCATCGGCGCACTGACTGACCCGATTCCCAAGGAGTTATTAAATTTTTTCTTACTATTCAGATCAAATACATTTATGTTCGATCTTAATTTTGCAGACATTATTGTTGTGCTAATAATAGTTTTATTAAATGTTATGCTGGAAATCATGCTCGATCCGCCAGAAACGAAAGCTGTTTCGTCACACACTCATTCCTCTGTCTGTCCTCAATAACGGACTTTTAAATGCTAGTAATAACAACGATAATAATGATAGACCAGAACATCCAATGCCAGCCTTTTATATTTCCGCGCATCAAGTAGAGGTACGTAAGTTAGCGCAAATAGTTGGCATCAGATTCACTATAGGAGTTAAAAAACGGGCTTTAAAATACCACTTCTAAGCATAGTTGTGGTAAACGTCTGAAAGCACTCAGACCGCACCAGATCCATGAAATGGTTGAATGTTTATTTGATACATGACATGGTCCCTTAGTAATGTACCTAATTGCCGATACGTCGCTCATTGTTATAGCTATTTTCTTACATGTAAACGTTTGACTGAAAGTGTTTTCTTGCATATACCTTATAGTTATATTCTTTTCACTTCATTTATATTACCAAGCGGTAACAGGCCTTGATTGTCCTTTTGCGTTCACGCTGATTAAAAACGGTATATTCTTAGGGACGCTAAAACTACTCTAGCGGTATCGCAATCATAAGACTAGATGAAGAGCTATTATCACCTAAATTAGTGGTAAAATGTTTGTTATATATTGTTCTTATTTACTATACTTTATGTTTCTGCTGTACTGATCACGGTGATTGAAAAACTAACACGCTTCAAACACTTCGATTTCTGATTTAATTAATGTGTAATTAACTATGAATATAATTAGTTTTTTGATAGCATTTCGTATGTTGACTTTTGAGAAACGCGAGCACGCAGATCTGAATACCAAATTAGTCAATACATAATTCTATCGGTTATCACTTTTTTCACAAATAACAGGTAAATTTATATGTGCTGATTACTTCCCTTTTGTTTTTATTCTCCTGTTCACTTAAATTTACTGACACGCCCTTGCTTCTGTGTTTTTTCCTCTGCCTGCATCTATCTTTTTTGTTCTTCACTTCTCACCAACCGATTACAGATAGACAGATACAAATAGTAGATAGCGACGGTAATAGTGTTCATAAGGCGACAGACTTCTCGTCGCCATCATCCAGACGGGGCTTTGTGCCCTATCCCGCCGCGGTTCTCGGGGTACAGCCGGGACTGTTCCCCTTGTTTCCAGATCCACTCAACCCGCTCTCCCCATTAACGCCACTCGGTGCAGCTGGTCAGCTTGGCCAGCCGCTGAAAGGTCCCTTGGATCTCTCTTTGAATCCGCCCGCGCACGACGTCAATGCTGATCTTCAGACGCTGCCGCAAGCGGCCTCATCCGACTCTTCGTCATCGGCAGTTTCGGTTCATCAACAGGAGCTACAACAGCAACCCCTGCAGCAGAATTCTGGCCATCTCATACAGATTTCGTCCGCACAGATGAGCGGTGGGGGCGATCAGGCCGTCTATGACAACTCCAAACGCTCCTCAAGCAACAATCAAGAAGAGCCCGAAATTAGCAGCAGTCAGGAGGTACTTACTTATCAAGATGGCAGTGCGCTAAATAGCAGTAACGTCAGCAGCTCTGAATACTAACACAGCTGTAATTGCATAATATAAATAGAAAACGTATCGTAAAGACACCATGCAAAAAAATTTAATAACGTACATGTTTTCGATGTATGCATATACACACTCACTAATTCTGCTCCCTGGCGTTCAGTCATTGTTACATATTAAAAACGCAGAACGAGACTGGACACGTACAATATCGGAACAGATCTACCGATATATTCTCAAGGGCATATGGGCAGAAGTAAAAAAGGAAATGGACTTACATTTCTTTTACTAATATATACCCAATTGATGAAAATGGGAACCGACCGACAATCCTTATAGGTCAAGGTCTCTGGGCATAGACAGAAGAATTATAGCTATGCTTTTTATGATGGTTTTTTTTGCAAACCTTCTGACCAGTTATTCATTCCTTCTGCAGATAAGCGTATAGAACTTAAATATTCATAAACGCGTAGACCCTGGACATTATAGAAATTGTATGGGGAGGACCGTACATGAAAGAGATATATGGGGCCAGAAGTATGTAGCGAATAACGATGGTATTACTATTTAACTATTATTATTACTATTTTACTCGTTAACGTTTGCTAGAATCTACCAGTTTGCCGTACCGATTTACTGACCGTCGACTTGAATACTTGAGCACGTGCTCCATTGCTCTAGACAGCCAAGTATCGTTATATGCTAGGCTTTTCACCTCGATCTAGATTGTTTAGATCTGCAAGTATGTCCCGGTTGTGGCAAAAAAAAAGTCAATTAAAAATAGCTTTCGTCATGAGTTTCTTTTCGCAGCAACGACTTTGCGCTGAGTAAATGTTCATATTTATCCGCCAACATTCGGTGAGAAAACGATCCAAGATAATTCAGCGATGCTTCGAATTCAGAATACTTTGTTAATTTATAGTTCAACTTAATATACTTAGCACTTTTTTTATTTGTGCCTTTGTTATTCTCTCTTCAATTCCTATTCACTTATGTAGGCGAAATTAATTTTCAATGTTTTTCCGCTTTGCAAAATCCGATTTTTTTTTCAAATAAGCTGTAGCACGTGAGATTCCTTCTTGTGTCGGTCCTGTGCAAAAAAAGCTTCCTTATCAACTGCCAGTAGCGCTAAACTACGTGATATTTCGCCGACGTCTCGGGACACCTTATGCCCGCTCATGTTACGTTCGTATTTTTTCGTTTAGATTCGTTCTTTTGACGAGTGAAGCGAAGCTATCATGGTTGTACGCGCGGCGGTAGGGCTAAACGCCAACAAAGAAACACGAGCAGACGGAATCAGAGTAAAAGATTCACGTATTGCGAGATGCTCTGACAGTCGGTAAATTCTCATGGCTCCGCCCAATGCGACGACGACCAGGAAAGATGTCTCAAGTGCTGGCGAATCTTGGTGCGACCCATCGAGTTGCCTAGCTGCTGCTGAATAGCAGTGGGGTATCTAACAAACCCAGTCAGTCAGTAACAAAACCGATCCTCCTTCCCCGGGGGTTTTTTCCAGCGACTATGTCGCCGACAGAGGCAAATCGCCGCACAAATACGCACACAAAAGTCGCAGAGGTGGTGACGGAGCATCGACCGATCGGTGTCCGGGGGCCGTCGCCTGAATACTTTTCATCTTTGCGGGTTCCTTGCCGGGGCTTTATGTATATCTCGCAACGACAAGTTCACGACAAATAACGGTTACGTTGGCTCTATGACGATGCGCCTCGGACGTTTCGTTTCATAACTACGCGTTTACTTCAGCTACAGGTTCCGCTTCGGCGCTTTTTTGCTATCCTGCCTTAGATTTTATTTTGTACAATCTTCGTCTCATTTATATAGGGACTTGTGCATGCGTGTACAGTGTATTATGTTATTGCATTGTACAGTGTCGTACTATATTATTTATCGTTTGTTGGTAAGCTTGTTGCTATTATGCGATCATTATCTATGCAGAACTTACTCATGCTACGTTCGGTGAGTCCTTAAAAAGGTTGTTGGTGCGCGCTGTGAAAATTCAAGTTAGCATAGCGAAAAGTAGCTGATACGCCTATTTTAAGATTTGTAAAATTTTTTTTATGATTATTGGTAATCTACCTGTTGCTGTCACAGAACTTATCTAGGAAAAAGAAAAAAAAAGTCCGAGTGTTCTATGCTGTTTATTTAAAAGCTTCTCGCTAATGTACCGAGTGTTTTTAATCTGCTCTCTTTCTGCTTGTTCTTACGTTCGTTTAGTCGGATACCTGCAGTAGATATGCAATTCGCTTGCACTATATCGTCAAGTATATTTGTGTCATTAAGTTATGGCTATAAGATCTATTGCACTCGTTATTTTCAACTATTGAGAGCTCAGCTGATGTTGACTGTGTGTGAACGAAATTTATGGGTGTTTCGGACACGAGAGGACAGGTGTTCAGAAATGAGAAAGGAGCAGTTTTACCAAACGAATCTTATAAACTACGTAACTCTGAAGAAGAGGTTTTGCGAATATTGCCAGTTTGAATTCGAAGTGCATTTCTACCTATTACTTGATGTTTCCCTTGTAAAATTTCGAATTTCCGCTGTCTGCTGATTGAGGACTAGCATCGAAACAATGGTCGGGATGCTTGTGACTGACTGATAGTACCGCAGTCAGCACGCCTAACCGCTGAAGACGTGATTACGGATAACACATTGGCGGGACGTAGCTCCAAATTCACTCACTTCTATCATTATACACACCAATAGCCACGATCTTCATTTGACTCTCCATAGTATTGCTGCCGAACTGCGATCGTAGTTGCTGAAGCCGTCGCAGTAGTCTACTTGGCGTAATGAGGCGGGAAATAACTTTTTTACAATTTAATTGATGCTGATACCATATAGGTATGTCGATCAAATGCTGTCCAGCGTCTTAGCTAACCGTTTCCTTCTTGTTATTGCTGCTGCCTCCGCCACCGCCGTCGCTGCCCTTGCTTTTAATTTAGATAGAATTCTCTCTTCGCATTCATTTAGAGACTTGTATTTTACGGAACACTTTTTCTCACGTCGTCTTTCCGGCTGCTTTACGTCGCTTCTACTCTTGCTACTCATATGGAACAATGCTAGACAGTTGAGTGGGGCGAAAATATATAGCGGTGCAGATTTATAATACAGTACGTAGTAGTAAGGGGATCGTTACGTATTGCATATTGTTTGCGCTAACCGCCGGCAGCTTTATATTATATTTCAGTCAATACGATAGTTTACTTTGCGTTCTGAAATCAACATTTAGAGCGAAAATAAGCTTATATTGTTTTAAATTGTGGTCTTCGTTGATTTTTAGATGTCGTCGGACATTGTGCAACAACAACAACAACAGCCCCTCTCTGAGCTTCTTCTTAGCACCTATTTTTTACATTAAGAAAGAACGTGATTTTGTTGTATAGCCGTGGCTTGTATTCATTGTATAATTGTGGCTTAACATTATAGCTGGCCGTTATTTCTGTTTTTCTTCCTACTCTTAAAGTTATATTTCGCACACGATTCTCATTTGTTTTTCGATCTTCATTGAATATTGATGAGCTCTTCAGTATACTGCTAGGATCAGTGCATGACCTATGCTAATTGTGCAACCTGCATTCAATAAGGGTTAGATCCCTGATCAAGTCTTAAGTGTTTTCCGGAATCGTGAGATGTGTTTAACACTTACTTTGAGCATGCTTAATAGCTAGACGTTGAAAGACCCCTTTCGATGTTACTGCTATCCACAGTCCGAGAAAGAAAGGGGTCCGAGAAACAGCACAACAGCACTATACCAGTAAAAATGTCAGACGTTGTTAAGACGATACAATGTCAACGAGAAAAGTTCAGCCGACTATAACACGATCCAACATTCATTTTACGCCTGCTCGTACTTAAAACATACTCATATATA